TTGGGGGGGGGGGGGGGGGGAGAGAAGACAAGTCTATTTAAATAAGATAAACTATACCCATGGACGTTGATAAGAGTTCGTGAATTTCCCGACATCTTAGTTGTTCCAGTTCCAGGAACTCTGTCGGTGTCCGCGGAACAAGTTCTTCCCACGTTCTGTTTCGACATCTGAACGTCTCCTAGCCTACGTAGGGACCTGATGTCTGGGTTTAATAAAGGGTCAGGACCCCTTCTTTTTAGGCGTATACCGCCACCTACTGTAGTGGAGGGTGTACTGTCATGGTCTGACCAGTGACTTTTTGCGATAACTAATACTTAAGACTTGATGCAAGATTCAATTTTTATTTCAACCGATGAGAATTTTCACATATCGGTATCGATATCGTTACTATCGGTACTATCCATCCAATCATCCAACAGTACTTGAAAAGTGAAAGGAGTGAAAAAACATACTGTAAATATTTACGTGGCGAAAACTTTTGCTGAACCAGTACCGGACCGTTCTAATTGGACCAGTACCGGACCATTCATATTGAAACGGTACCAGACCTTTCTTTCTTCGTTCTTATTGGACTGGTACCGGACAATTTCTACTGGACCGGTACCCGGACCATTCTTACTGGACCGGTACCGGACAGTTCTAATTGGACCGGTACCAGACCTTTCTTTCTTCGTTCTTATTGGACTGGTACCAGACAATTTTTACTGGACCAGTACCAGACAGTTTTAATTGGACCGGTACCGAACCGTTCTTATTGGATCAGTACCAAACCATTCTAATTGGACCAGTACCGGGCTGTTCTTATTGGACTGGTACCAGACAATTTTTACTGGACCAGTACCAGACAGTTTTAATTGGACCGGTACCGAACCGTTCTTATTGGATCAGTACCAAACCATTCTTATTGAAACGGTACCAGACCTTCCTTATTCTGTACGTTCTCATTTCCGGTTCTAGTCCAAACTCGTGGGGCACGGACCCAGACTGGGGAACTACTCACGTCGGGCACGAAGGGCGGCTCCACCATCCCGGCCTCCATCCTCTTGAAGTTGATATTTTTGAAGAAGGAGTGAGCCTTGACGCTGGCCGCCTTGTCCGCCTGGCACCCTAGCCTCTGCTTGGGGTCTTTGGTCAGCAGCTGGAGCAGCAGAAGAGCACATGATTCATGACATCTTCTAAGTCAGAACTTTTTATTTATATTTTTGGCGGTGCCTCACCATTCTACAGATAGCCTTGGTGTCCTCGGTGAACTTGTCGTTGTACTCCTCCTCCTCCTCCTGCACCCTCCGCTCCACTTCCTCCCTCTTCACCCGTTCCTTGCGGGCCCGGCAGGG